CCTATTGATTTGATCAGATTTTGAAGATGTGACTCGTTTATGATTATATTCCATTTCACAATGTTATTTTGGGTCCCTCCACTATTTACCTTGTGTATGAACGATCTCCATCATGATGTACTTCAATGAACATTGATTGGCAATCTTGTACAATTTTTACTCTTATATTGAATCCAATGCTAGATAGATGTATAGTGTTGGTGTCTAACGATTAATCGACGAACTTTGATTAAGCATTTTTAACAAATTTAACATTTCATTAACGTGATATTTACATGAATTAACCCGCATGTGCTATGGAGATTGACAATCTAAGATTTCATACATAGTGTAAATTCGCAAAAAAAAAAAAAAATTGCAGGGTTTGATCCGAATCACCAATGTAGACAAATAAATAAAAAAATTGCAGATAAATGAAAATAGTTTGGTGATAAAATATAAAAAGTTGTGAGGTCTATCAAATCATACATAGGTGTATATTAGTTGCCAATGTGCTATTTTTTCATTATCCAAAATTTTGGAATTTTTTTTTTTTCATTATCCAAAATTTTGGAATTAATAACTAACAAGTCCCTTTTATAGTAGTTTTTTTTTTGTTTGGCTTGAAACCAATCATTTGTATAATGTTAATTGGGAATGACATGTGTTTGATGTTTTAAGTCTAGACTTTCTTAAAGATCTTATGGTTCTTACTAATTCAAGAAACTCAATACATTTTTGATTAATGCAAGGTACATTGCTCTGGCCACCTTACCAAATACGCCAAAGGCCGTTTAGATGGGATCGTAATTAACTATAATAATCTATACATTACACACTCGTTTATTAAGCTTAAATCGGTGGATGATAAACTAATTAATAACTAGTATATTCTAAGATATAAACAACAACTTAATGGTTGTCCAAAAAAAAAAAAACTTAATGGTTTGTGATTGGTTGTAGGCCGGTGGGAATTATACGAATCTTAAGAGTTTAATAAGCTTTGATTTTCGTTGTCTTGCCTCCATGCCCCAAGAATCTTTCCAATTTGACTTCATTATTTATTTCATTACTAATCAATACAGCCTCTAATAAAACTACTCTTAACCTAATAATTAACCATTTTCCTACCAAAATTTTACATTAACAACCTTTCGACTGTCACAATACAATAAACATCTTGGCTCGGGTTAATTGAACCAAGAAAAAGACAAACCAAACCGAAACAATTATTTGGTTAACACAAAATGACCGGTACAGCTTTACCATTTTGGGTTTCTTCTGAAATTTGTAAAACCTCATACAATGTCACTACACATTGATTTATTTAAGTCATAAAGAAGAAACATGGGATGATTGTTGGGACCAAAACCTGTGAAGAGATTTGAGAGTGTGACTGGTTCGATGTTTCTTCTCAGGCTCGGTGTTCTTCTGGAAATGGTATTGATCCACAGCAACGGTAATAACCGCTCTGGTCGAACACAAACCGCTGTGAGAGATGAGCTTCTCGGATCAGATATTCTCCCCAGTCTTCGTTTCCAAACTGTTTGTGTATCTCTCTTGCATCAAACGTCTCCATCTTCTTCCTTTTGTCCTTTCTGAGACCACAAGTTTGTTTTTTTTTGTTTTTATGATAGAGTTTTGTGAACATTGTTTTCTTAATCAGGATTCAGAACATAAAGCTGAGAGTTGGGAACCAATCACCTTTTTCTGTGCCTCGCGTTAATCACGGTTGCGTGCAGCTGCCAAAAAGTGAGGAAAAAGTATGATACAGAAGCACAATTTACAACTAGTTTTAAGCTTTTAGCCCAAAATAAAGTGATTGCAACAATCTCACTATCATTAATCATAATAAACGCAGAAAGATCTTACCTTCAAGCTTTGCTTTGCATCTTTCTCGAGAACAAGCCCAGCTTTCACAAATGCTTCAGTAATAACTTCTGAACTTGGGGTTAAGAAAAAAAGAAAGGGCATACGCTAAAAATCTCAATATATGAGCCAAAACCATGTCTATACTGAATTAACATTTTCACTAAAAACTAGGATACGACAAGCACGTAAAAGCCGGCCTTCATCGCCAATCTCTTCAACAGGAACGTAGAGTACACGAGCCTTGGCTAATGGTCCTCTCATACAATCCTTAAGAATGTAGCAAAAAAATGACAGATGCGTGAATAGACAGACGCTAACCACCGATAGGTAAATGAATTGTAAAGTAAAGCCAATGATGTATCATCTTACCAATCCTTTAAGTCTAATAAAGAGTGGTCGGTTATCCAAAGCATCCATGACACTAGGAGATATACTCTGTATTTCAGAAAAGAAACACCAAAATTCATGAAACATTCCTAAAACGAATGAATAACATATCTTCGGAAACAAATTACCTTCAGAACATCACGAGCTGCGTTTACACGATCTTTATTCCATAACTTTAGCATAAGCACAGTCAAGTGAAAGGTGTTTGGCTTAATAAATATGGACTTTTCAATTCCTAAGTCTGCCAATGTATAAAACGTACTGAGCGTGTCAGAGGAACAGGTTTACCCCAAATAGCACTAGTTTTCTTCTATCCCCAATTTAACAAGTTGGTTCCTTTTCTTACCATATAAAGTAGATGACTTTGTTTCTTTAGCCTTAGGCTGGTAACTGACAATTGGTATGCTCTTGATATCCACATTAACCTGGTTTGTTTCACTATTAGCTCTTAGATCAACCGCCACACTTGTTGTTGATATATTAGCTTGGTCGTCTTGTTCATCACCAGCTATGCCATGGTTTCCGAGTATAGAGTTCTGAAAATTCATCAGCTTGTCCACTAACTCAGGGTGTATGGCCAATGGAAGCGATACAAAGTGTGAGTAGTCGAGACTCGGACTCTTTACAACCTGGAATAATGAATTCCAATGCGCACAATTAGAAAGGCAAAAGTTAGAAGGAAAGAACGAGCACGATACTAAAGATCAGAGAGAAACGATAAGGAACCTCATCGATAATGGTGGCTATTCTTTCTGAAGCTTTAGTAACACAGTCCAGTGAACCACCTTCAATGACTGCAAAGAAGAACGGAAACAACAAAATAGATTAGTTGAACCAAAAATCAGTTGAAATTGGTAGCAAGCATCAGATAATACATTACAGTGGTTTGCACAATCTTACTGATGTTGTCTTCGTTCCTCGATGATGGAAGAATGATCTTCACTCCCATTTCCTCTTCAATTTTCATCTGTGTAGTTCCTCTTTTCTCAAGGAAAGAAAACCCATTAACACGTACATACATGTGAGACTAAAGTAAACCCCAGAGTATAAGAGTAACAAACTAGAGCTCTTACTCTTTCCCTCTGATGAACTTAATCAAAGAAGAACCAACCTGCAACCAATCACACAAAGTCAGACAAATAAGTTAAAGATTAAAGGCTACAGGAAACATCAATATGACATAAACACAAATGAAAAGGAGACAAGTCCTAAAGATAATATGCACTGCAACGTGTCTATCGTCGAATCCTCAAGTAACAGAGGGAAAAGAAGAACCTCAAGAGAAACTGAATGCTTTCCATCCGAAACAACTGAGACTGTCTCATTCACTTCTCCTTGACTAACTTCCTCACAAACATCACTTGATTTGCTACACTGAGCTTCTTGGACATTATTTCCAGCTTCTGTAACATCATGAGAAGCCAACCAATGTAAGATAGACAACTAAAACCAGGACGGCTCATAACGATCAAACCGCTCAAGTAAAGATGCTATATAACCTGCAACAATTGAAGAGGAATGAGTAGAGATAGGTCTCCACACTAAATTTACCATCTTTTGCTTCTTGCTTCCCTCCATAGCAGCGTTCCCTCTATAGCTCATGAAACTGAAAGTTTCCTGCAACGTACAAGTGGTGTAGCCACAAAAACATCATCTCAACACTAACAAAAACAATCTCCTCAAATCACACTTACAAAGATTACACCTTTTCAACAACTACAGTAACTATTTAACATCAAAAGTATGCTTACCGGTTTCGATTGAAAACATCTACTCGTAAACACAAATACACGATCAATCCTGCGAAATTTCCAAAAGAAACAGAATCAAACGCTTCTCACGAATTATTAAAAATCCAACCTTTGAAAAGGAATCGGGTTTTTGATGAAATGATGTCTGATGACAGAATTTAGCAGAAAGGATCAATTTTTCTTGCAGTTTTGATTTTCTCGAATTCTTAAATAAGAGCATAGAAGAGAAAACGAACCTAAAAAGAGTCCTGCAACTTATTAACAACATTTGT